AGAGAGAACACAAGCAAGGGGAGTGTGAGAGGGAGAAGCAGGCTTCCCGCCGAGCAGGGAGCCCGATGCGGGGCTCGATCCCAGGACCCTGGGATCATGACCTGAGCTGAAGGCAGATGCTTAACGACTGAGCCACCCAGGCGCCCCTCTACCTATAATTTCTTAGTCACTCAGTGGGGAGTAAAAAATTCTCCCATTTCTTCAGCATATTTTGCATCTTATAAGCCCATCTCAGAGAAGCATTACTTCCATACCTTAACTAAAATGTGACTGAAATGTTTTTTTTTTAAGATTTTATTTATTTATTTGACAGCGACAGCAGGAACACAAGCAGCGGGAGTGGGAGAAGGAGAAACAGGCTTCCTGCCAGGCAGGGAGCCTGATGTGGGACACTATCCCAGGACCCTGGGATCATGACCTGAGCCGAAGGCAGACGCCTAACAACTGAGCCACCCAGGCGCCCAAAATGTGACTGAAATGTATTTACAATTAAGTTCCTTAAAATAAACAGCAAATAAAAATAAATAAAACTGTTAGTATAAAATAGGTTCCTTAAATCCCAAATAACGTAGTTATAATTGCCTTGTGTTATAAATGGTCTTTAAATAAGTCATATCATCTTCCAGTCACACACCTGGTAATAAAGTACTGATTACTACAAACTACCCTATCTAAGAGAGTCATAGTATTATAGTGAAAACGCTATTTTGGTGCATGATTAACTAGTTATTTCTGTGCTTAAATGTGGCAGCTGAAACACAGCTTAGAAGATCTTTGCATCACTGCCCTTGATGTTAGGGGGCTATTTTGAGTCAAGCCCATGTACACAAGCTCCTCAGCAAACTGATTTCTGGCCACTCTAGCTCCCTAGCTCAGAGGCTAAGCTGCTGTTAAAGAACTAAGAAGCCTATCAGATTTCCACAAGGCAATAAAGCACGGTAGCTAAGAACTAGTAGAAACCACTGTTTGAATCCCAGCTCTGTCAATAACTGACACCGGCAAGTGTTAAGTTTGAGCTGCTTGCCCTATAAGATGGTAACAGTACTTGTACCTCGACTGTTGTATAGACTGAATGAAGCAATGCCGACGGAGCTCAGCTCAATGGCTGTCATATATTATACTCAATAAATGGTGGCTACTCTAATACTCATATTTAAATTATTGTAGGGGCGCCTGGGTGGCTCAGTCGTTAAGCGTCTGCCTTCGGCTCAGGTCATGATCTCAGGGTCCTGGGATCGAGCCCCGCATCGGGCTCCCTGCTCGG